AATGGTCGTTCATGCATCGCAGAAGCGGAAAAGATAAAAATTGTGAAAATTCAACAACTAACCCAATTTTGAATAGCATACGAAGATTCTAGTGATAGTGAAAGGAAGGAGTTTGAGGAAGAAGGTCAGGCTTACTCTTAAACTATCCTAGTTCCTTTGTCCTTATTTTCCGCTAACGTCCGATCAAAAAATCAAAAGCCTCTTGAGCTTATTTCGGCCCTGAAGTGATTCATAGCCCATTCTTCGCAAGAGCAACTCCGTCACACGACATTTGTTCAATATTATTGCCTTCTAACAATAAGATCGCATAGAATAACATCCAAGCACGATTGTTATGAATCGATTAGCGAAATAATTTGCAAAAAGTGTATTATTTGGTAAAAGCGCACTTGTAGTCGAAGGATGTCAATACTGACTATCTCAGCACAAAGCTGTCGTTTGCACTCCTGATATGCCTTTTGAAAACTCAAAAAGATTAAGAATGGTGTGATCTGTCAGCTTCGTAAATACGGTTTTTTTTATTATTTTACTTCCGTTTGAAATTATCTGTCTTTTCATAACAATTTTGCCTATTTCTAAAGATTCTGTTCTCGAAACGTTTGGCAAAAGCATAAGAAATCCAGAGATCAAGAGTCTATTCAGGAAAAAGTGTAAGGTAGACCGATTCAAAAATTAGGATAATTTAGATCCTATGTCTATGCGTGATGTATGCACTTGTAACGAAAAATAGATCTTTGTTCGGAATTTTCAAAAGTCGAAAGATATTCAGTATGCCATCTAAGAAAGAGGGAGTTCCGCCTTTGATTGGAATTGTATACTACCCCTAAGCCACGTCTCAAGCCTTATTGCTTTCTCAAATCAGTAAAAGCGATTTATTGTAACTAAGAATTGAAGTTTTTGATTGAATAAAACGAACTTCTAGTTAGCAGTGACTTTTATTATCTGATATAAATAGATGGAACACTCCTAAGACGCACATTTAGCCATAAATATCAGTATGAACAATTTTCCCTCAACCTTTTTCTTCCGGTTTAGAGCAGTTGAAGGCAAATAGTAATTAACGAGTATAGTTTGCTAATTAGCAAACTGCATCCAAAAGTGCTTTGCAGTATAGCGACTTCATTGCACTTTTCAAAAAGAAAAAAATGCTTTATCCATTTCTGCTGACGGTCATTTTTAGCGGTTCCTTTACTCAGCCGAAAACAAATTGATATGCTATCCTTTCCGCTACTGTCAACATCTTTCTACGTGCCAATTGACACCTCAAATTCTAAGATGTGCTCTTCGAAAATCCATACACCTAAAGACTTGAATGAGCTGCAGTCAGTGTCAATATGGACCCATTTGGCTGCTGGAAACAAAGAATTTAAATAGCAATTAGAAAATATTTTTAAACACTCTTTCAAAGTTGTTAGAACATCGAGAATTTTGATAACCTGACTTTGACTTGAGGCTCATTTAAAGTTCGGAAAAAAACATACCACCGTTGGGTTTAAGTAACTAGTTGTGCACAACTTAGTTGTTTTCATTTACTTCATAAAATGCAAAGTGATTTTGAAGAAAAGATAGTCGGCCACCGCGGATTACCGGATATAATACGAAAAGCTAAAAAATGAAGCTTTCGACAATGCGCTCCTACTCATTATGTTTATAGTAGAGACAAATAAAAACACTTAAAGGTGATTTGTTTTAAGCTATGCCCTTCCACCATAGGATGTTCATGCATGCGGCACCTAGGTCCCAGGCGTATTTCATGCGATTTCAGCCGCAACGCTGAAATGCACCAATTGTTTGTTAATCATCGTGAGCGCATGAATGTAATATCTCCTCCAAGACGAAGGCGGTCGCCCAAATAGGTTGAAAGCACGCAAGGCTGGCGCGCACGCGTCGCGCGGGCAATTGTCAACCACGGGGCGCGCGCACGCTCCCGTGGATGACCGTTGACGGTGCGTGCGCGCGCCCTGTGGTTGACAATTGCCCCGCGCAGCAGCCTTGCATGCTTTCAACCTATTTGGGCGACCCTTCGTCCTGGAGCAGATATTAAAGGAGAGCGATACTTAGATACTTACTTAGATACTTAGATGGCCCGTCCTCACGTGACGTGCGGGCCCCAGTACAGAAGGTGCCATTGATCCCTGTCCCTCGCTTCGGACATTTACGATCTTCTTAGTCGTCGTCGGTGGCTGCGTCCACGAGTTCCAGGGGCGAAAATCGTATCCAGCTGATTTCTCAGCTGGTCCATCCGTTCCACGAACACGTCTGCCCATCTCGTCGGTGGTCTTCCTCGAGGACGTTTGGCTTCACGAGGAATCCACTCAGATGTTCTTAGTGTCCATCTATCGTCCGTTCTTCTCATTATGTGACCGGCCCATCGGTGTTTCGCTTTCGCAACGTATTCCGCTGGGTCACGAAGACGGGACATTCTTCTCATATCCGTGCTGCAAAGACCGACTGGATGTTGCTTGCGTCGGGAGATCTTCAGAAGACTGCGCTCGAGCGCTCTGTGGGTGGTCCTTAAAGCTTTCGACGTGGCTACGGTGTCGGCCCAAGTCTCAGCTGCGTAGCAGAGCGCTGGGAGAACGGTTGAGTCGAACAGGTGGGCACGAAGCTCCGAGTCCGTCAGTTGGTCGGTGGCTTCCTTCAGAGGCCCGAAGGCGGCCCAGGCTGCTCTTCTTCTCCTGTTAAGTTCTTCCCTCAAGTCGTTCTCCATGTTCATCGAACGTCCGAGATACACGTAAGAAGACGTCTCCATAAGTGGCTTCGGTAAGGAGAGCGATAAGCCTTATTATTGATCTAAGAAAGTTCAAGCATGCTATATATTAATGGTCTGCAGTGTCAGATATGAAGAAGACTGGCAAAGTGCCAAATCGCAAAAGGCGGCTGAAATCTCATGAAGTATCCTTAAAGACAGCCTGCGACCAGATTCTTCGCCTCCATCTTTTGCGTTATGCGGTTTTTCCGATTTGAGAAATGGACACATAGAAAGCATTACTTCTTCAGAAGCTCCTTTTCAAATCTCCTTCCAAGTCTTTTTCTTTGAGCAAAAGCCACCGCAGACAAAATGCGAGGCTCGAAATCGAAATATGGCAATGCGGACGCAAAGGTCGCAGGCTAAGGTGACAAATGCATCTTTCTGCGTGTTTATTTTCGAAGGTTTCAGAGCGTTCATTATGAAATGGCAAAAATGGCAGTTCAGATCAGTGTAGGTTCTGTAGAAAGAGAATTTCAGTGTAATTATTCGGAGAGGAAAAAATTTGAAAGTACTATAGAAAGCCCTATACTCAGCAGTGGACCCCATGTTGAATGTCGCGTTGAGGCAAGGTTTCGCAGAAAGGGAGTGTGGCTTTAAACAGGGAGAAAGCAGTTTTGCGCAGTAATTAGCAGCCAACCTGAGTTGTTTGAAGGTGTCGCGGGCGCGACAGATTTTTTCTCTTCCTACTGATTATGCGGAAGCCGCCCAAAGTTTGTGAAGAGAGACTTTGGTCTTCTGTGTAAATGCCTCGACAGATTATTGTAATCGATCTACACCTCTTTTAATTCGTTTTTGAGAGAAGTCAGTAATTTAGTTAAGCGGGCAGCAAGCATCACGTTTGTTTGAACATGAGAAATTGTGGTTCATGTCTGTAACAGCAGCACACCGCGAAATGTAGCCATTTTTTTCCAAATCTAGATGAAATAAGCTTGAGTATCAAAGACGATAGCTCGTAGTAAACCTTCGTCATCCTAGGTCAGTTAAGGGTAGCCTAATTTGAAGCTACGGCGCCTAGCGCTGTATCAGTCAAGATCTTTGCTGATATGAGCAAAAAACGGAAACAACATAGTGCTGGGGCGTCATTATAGGAAAATTTGCAGTCGATATTGTTAAAAAGAATGTATGTGAAAATGGCAATATCGAGGAAGGTACTGTTTTACAAGAATGATAACAGCGCAAAGCGCAACGCGACATAAGGGCTTAGCAAGAGCAAGAAATTGGAATGAAAAGCAATCCCAACTTTTTGGCCCCACTAAGAAGAAAAACATGTGAAATTCTAAGACACTACTGTAGTTCACGTCTGCTAAAGTACCCTTTGATTTACTCATGAGCAACTTACGGATTTTCTTCTGTGTTCAACAGCCTTTTTGATAAGAAATAGAATGCGTTCGGCACATGCTCGCATAGAATATCAGAAATGCCGAGTCTTTATCCTTTGTTTTGCCAGTAATGGAAAAATAATTATTTCTCAACTCAACGCTTTACAAAACGATACGGATAATCTAGTTCATCTGAATTTGGGAGGACATATTTACCCATAGAACTTAATTCATCTGAATCTATAGTGTTTCTATCATCTGACTTTCGTGGATTTACACGAGAGGGTAAGTTGGTTCATTTGGATTTACAGAATTTCGAGGATAAGTTAGTTTATCTTGTTTTACAGGAAAAAGAAGGTAAATTAGTCCATTTGGATTTGCAGAGTTTGGAGGATAAGTTGATCCACCTGGATTCACAAAATTTTTAGGGTAAGTTGGTCCATTTGAATTAAAATTTTGAGGGTAAGATGGTCCATTTGGATTCACAGAGTCTCGAGAATAAGTTGAACCGTCTGGGTTCACACAATTAGGAGGGTTAGCTGGTCCATTTGGATTTATAGAGCCTTGAAGATAAGTTCCATTGCGTTCACATAATCTGGACGGTAAGTTGGTCCACCCGGATTTGAAGGATTTCGAGGGTGAGTTGGTACAAATTGATTCACAGAATTTGGAGGAAGAGCTGTTCCATTTGAAAAAAGGAAACCACATTGGTACAAGTTGATTTACAGAATTTGGAGGAAGAGCTGTTCCATTTGAAAAAAGGAAACCACAATCACTGCAAGCAAAATGATTGTATTTAGGAAGTCCTATCACACAATTCTTCAAGCATTCTACATACTGCTCCAGGTAAGCGCGATTGTCCTGGAAAAAGAATATGTGCAAGCTGTACAAACGTTTGTTGGGTCCAACTATTAGCCTTTCTTGCTTACCGGTGTCTCATGTGGATTTTTAGGAATTTGTGGGAGAAGTGCTACACATTTACCGCAAGCAACTTGATAGTCTCCAGAAGGCTCTTTAACGCAATTCTTTAAGCATTCTAAATACTGCTCGATTATAGCGCGTTTATCCTAAAAAAAGAATATGTACAAGCTGCATAAACGTTTGTTGGTGCCAATCATTAACTTATTTCGCTTACCGGTGTCTCATGATCTGTGTCGAAGACTACTGCCTGGGTAGAAGCGAACACATTAAGGAAGAGTATAACAGCTCGCATTGAAATGAGCTATGTAATGGAAGTTTCCCCCTTCTCATCATACCATTTTAATGAAACATCACTATTTTGCTCAGATGTTGAAATTATAGGCGCCCACCAATTACATTGAAATACGCCTGAGTCTGCGGCAGTGGTGTATGTGCGTAGAAGGAGGTTAGGAAATTATCGAGTTGTGCTGATCAAACCTCACATATTCACAGTTCCTACAATGTTTTTGTTTTTGTTTTTGTCCGTGCATAAGGCTGTGTTCGTACATAGTTGTCCATGTGCCAACACAGGGCACCGCGCTGCAAACGCCAGCGAGCGCATATCACAGGCGGCATGCGCTGCGATGGGGGATTTTGGATATACACAAGTTTTATGACCATCTTTTATTGTTTGCTTCAATATAAGTCTGTCGCTCAGGTTCGGTCATCTTCGGTAATTATCATCCTAATTTCACGCATACAAGGGACGGGGGATTTTTTTTTCAAAGTAGACCAACCCAAACGCGAGAAAGGTCTCGCACCAAAGGACCCTAGGCCGTGTCTGAGAGAATTGTGCGGCACAAGATGCTTCCCGAAATACAGTGAAGCGGATGAGCGGCTTGTTTGGAAATTCGAGAAAGGTGCGCGTCGTACGCTGAGATTAGGTTAAAATTGAATTCCTGCGCTCTTTTAAAGTAATTCCTCCGCAGGAACCGGAAAAAGAAGTTGCAGGAACTAAATTACCCTCTTTGTCATTTGAAGCGAGCCCGACTCGAACTGCTCAGGTACCGCGCAGCCGCCTCGCCGGACCCGACGTCACGGTCGCGAACGGGTTGCCTGATCATTTTCCCACGAACATTCGAAAAAAAAATCAGAGACGTGTTTCAATCAATAATTGAGCTTGGGAAAGTGCTTAGAAAACCGTCGCAAACGCAGCGCAAAGCCGAGGCAAGGTGACCGCTTTGTCGGTCCGGGGTCTTCTCAGTCCCTGATTCCAAAAATTGAGAATTTGCGAAAAAATCCCGACAATCCCCGTTTTGGAGAACCCGCGGATCGGATTCCCGCGGGAACGGCGATTAAATGGGCGTGCAGGGATGCGGGCATTACTTGAGGGGCGTTGCCGCCTAAGGGTCCTCTGCTCTCTCCGTTTTCAACGCGTTTTTCTCGCTTCTAAAGCGATATTTTCGCGATTTGGGTAATTTCTTGGTAGGCGACCGTGCTTTTGTATGGTACCGAAAGCTCAAGAGCATTGTCTGCCCTAATTTAGGGCAGACAATGCTTTCAAAGCTACAAAGGAAACACTTGAAAAAGAAGACAAAAGAAATGTTCCGTAGAGAAGAACCAGAATGTTACGTATGCCATCGCTTACGATGCTAGCATTATGTTACGATATTGAAAACGCGTTTAGCGCTGCACTGGAAGCTAATTCAAGATACAGGGCGCCCACGTGAACGCCGGCCTGGCATGGCGCCAGCATCGCGCTGACACGGCGCTGGAGCGGCACCGGCACCTGGCAAGAGTCTGGAGTTCTTACAAGCAGGAACTTCTTTAGCTCATCAGAAAAACAGCCGATAAATTAGAAGCTATGAAGAAGCTCTTGACTTGATATCAAAGTTTTGCACATAAACGTTATAGAGGCAGTTGATTATTTGTAGAGAAGACGTAGGGTAAACATTTGTAAAGACACAAACACTTCCATAAACAATTTGAGTGGAAATTTCAAAAACTCCGCAAAATTTCTCGATATTTACGTGCTTTCTTCTCCTCACATGCGTGTGTACAGTGAATGAGCATGATTTTCATGAGAATTGGTTTTGAATAAGAATTGTGATCAGGAAGAGCAAAGGAAATCAAAAGTGGCAAACTCCGCGTGTACGAATTCCAGCTCCACCCATTGGGAAAATGCACTATATATATGCACAAGTGAAAGGGCACTAATTCACGGAAAACACCCACTTTGATGCATGCAGTAGCCAAAATAATTCGTATATTTTCAATCTAGTACATAGAAGATTTTATAGGAACTCGTCTAAACTTTTCCACAATTCTAGAAACTTGTGTTTTACGCAAACATATCAGCGCATTTCAAACGGTCAACAGAAAGAACACTATTGGATTTATTTTCCAAAAAAAAAACGACTTTCCGGTAGCTGCATTTGATTTTGAACTTAGAGCTCAAAAGCACAGAAAACACGACAAAAACCCTGACTTTTGGGTTCACAAAAAAAACTTCGGAAGAAAGTCATAAAATGTTTTTTCAAGTTTTCGGAATCGCAGCAAACACAATTTATACTATGACGAAAGCAAATGCATGTAAACTTAGCAATTTTATTTTCCAAAAAGTCAAGCCACTTCTGTAAAGGTAGAAGGAACCGTTGTTGATTCTTAATCAAGTTGAGAAGACATGTTCACTAATGGTTGTGAAAACAAACTGTAATTAGCGACTCATTCATAGTTTATCCCATTCATAAGCTTTCTAGTGAGTGAATCTAACATGAATGTTGCCAAATATGGCTGGGAAATCACAGGTACATTTGGAAAACGAAAGAGCTGGGAAAAGAAAGAAAAGAGAAGTATTCCTAAAAAAGGGAGCTTTGTGAGTCTTTGAAATTTCTCTAAGCTGTCTCCGACACGCAAAATCGTTACAAAAAACTCGAAAAACTTGGAAAGCGTCCGTCCGTGTTTATTTTTGGCTTCGAAAATGTCCATCAAAATTCGAATTCCTGGCTTCAAATACGTCTTGATTCTTCAAAATTTCCGTCTGAACAAATTATGCAGCAGCAAAAAAAACTGAAATTGAAAAAAAGAATAAAATTAGGGGGGGGGGGGGGGGGTTCAGATATACATCCATAACAGTGCGCACCATAAAAGTTTAACCGCACCAAAAAATCAAGTGTTTGAATACTATATTTGTAAGCAACAAGATAAGTTTTTTTCTTAAATCTAAAAATAGCGAAGATTTCTTTTTTTATAAGGAAGGGTAATCTGAAAGTATAGAGTCAGAATAATACATTACTCCAAATGCAATAATTTATCGCATTCAATAAAATGAAAATGAAAATTGAAAATTTTTAATCAAGTAAAAATGAGATTTGGATTAAGTGGAAGTTATTTTGACTAAAAGAGGCTGAACTTCCGATTAGGTGCAAATGATTTAATTCTACTTGGTCATGTCATTGAATCGTTATAATTTATCGCCAGGTGTTACCAAGTTCGATTTCAGTTTTGATGACATTTGCATGTAAAAATGTTTGAACTCAGCTTCTCTCAGTAGAAATGAAGGCAAGCGATTTTGGATGAACGACTTATATCCAAGCCAATATCCAAAAGTGCTTTGCCTAGGCTTTATAATCGGAATCTAAAAAATCACTTCTGCCGTACTTTTTCAGGCGGAAGCAATTTTCGACGTTGCTTTTTATCGCATCGTCATCATAATGCTTGTTCCGAAACATCAAAGGCTAAAGCATAAGCAGCAAGCTTATTTTTAACTCGAACTAAGGAGCATGGAACATGATAGGACAGAACATAGAGCATCCTTTGATTCAACTGGCTTGGCAAGATCGGCAAGATTTTGAGGTAAATTTTGGAACAAAAATGCAGCTTTCTACAACCTAGTATCTTACAATGTCTCCAAGCCAAGTTGAAAGAAGACAAGAGACAAGGTCTGATAACGCTATAGATTTACATTAGTTAATTTCCAAAAGGGAAATGAAAGTAACTTCTTGGAAAAATATCGAGTGATACGAATAAACTCTGACTAATCTTACAAGGAGGAGTTTCTAGCAGAATGAGTCGATTTTCCTTCTGCTATTATACCCCGACAACTATTCCGGGTTCGATACACACATCAATTATTTATTTTCTCAGTCATGCATACGATGCGAATAAATTAGTTTGTCAAGGATGCCAGGTACCATCACATTTCAGCTCTTACTTGATAGGTTAAGCACTAAAGTATTTTGGAGAATTTACCGATCCTGCTCATTAGAACTTAGCACGAACGCGGGGGGAACCCCCTTCGAGATGGCAAGTTTTTTGGAAAATGCAAAAAATTATAATGAGATTGGTTCATCAAAGCAATACGTTCAAAAATGACTCAATGATGTGTGACTTCCGCAGTGGCCTAGTATAGGGAGATGATAGTATTCATACAGACAGAAGTTAAGCTACGAAGCCCTTTCACCACACGATTTGAAAAACAGATGTAGTTTATATGAAAACACCGAGTTTTGAAGCCAAAATCGCAGCGAGAATACCTTACAAAGAATACCTTACAAAGTCAAGCAAGAATGGATCCTTGCGGCGCTGTAGATGAGTAGATTTTAGGGCAGCAGTCCTTACTGAAGTTTTCACGAGTGAAAGGCCCGAAAATGTAATTTCAGTTAGTTACACCGCCTAATCTTGAGTTACGCTCTTTCACAGTCTGATTGAAGAATCATTGTCATTTTTGAAAGATGTTCATGAACCCTGCAGACTTCAAAGCTTATTTTCCCTTCAACTAAATTCTTCAATTGAGCCCCGCACCTAACCTACATTAGCCATTCCTTGACCCACCGACCACAAAGCAAAACTTTTTGAAAAATTTACAAAATCACCTCGCAAGCTCCCTTGAAACAATTGAAATGTGAAGAGCAGCATTTCTGCTATAACAGAGTGTAGACTTAGATGAAGAAGCTTGGAGCTTAGGGTAGTCGGCGACTTTTGCTCCCTTTAGAACTGCCTTTGTGTAATTGCACTACTTTTAAGATTGTAATGTTACTAATTGCAAGTTCAGCAAATACGACACACTTTTTCTTATTTCTTGCTGTCGTTTTTTTCTAACCGAAACCTTAGTGACTTTACGTAAACGCTTATATTTTGCAAAAGTAGGAGTACACGTGTCTGCTATAGAAGGATAACAATACCTCTCCTAGTGCGTTCATATCGGCTTTAAAAAGAAAAAAATTCCAAAAAAGAACTCGTACCAAGTCCAACTAAGATTTTTATTAAATTTGAAGATGCAGAGAAGCTTTCCTGATTATATAGACGGTATAG